GAGACACAAACTCTTTTTTTGTTTGTGTAAAGATATACCGGTATATCATAAAACTTATTTAAAAAAAATACTGTAAGATGTCTCTTTTATTGTAACACACTTACATTTTAGCTAAAGACTATAACACAAACACACAAAATTATGAAAACTTTAGGATACATGTTGTCACAAAGGTAAAATATATTTGCATACATATATACATGTAATAAGAAATTTTCTAACCTAGTCTAGAAAATGTCATATCTACAGTGCCCTCAAACATTCATTATTTGACACAGATGAAAAGAAAAATCAGAAGAAAAAAACAGAATCTCCTCTGCCGTCAGTGATCTGTAGTTTGGTTGATGAACAAATCCATGTCCATGTAGTTACGTCCCCTCAGTGAGAGGCAGATATGAGCTGAAACACAGGAATCAAACCAGGGACGCTGCTGTTATGGAGCTGAACTGGAACCATTCAGACACTGAGGCCCTCTGAACACATTTTAATTACAGCTGTGCAGAGACACACTGATGACTGACTGGAACACTATGATTCACATTTTACATTAACACCATCCTCACACATGGTCATATATGATCACTAGAGGGAGATGTTGGACTTCAAATACCACACTATGATACTTTGTTGTAAAAAAAAAAAAAAAAAAAAAAGCTGTGCAGTTCCTGACACAGTGGCAGTTTTACTGTGGATAAAGATTGACTTCACGTAAATATGTAGTTTGAATGGTAATGAAACTTAATGTGGAAACTGTCAGATTTAAAGAGTCCGTTGGCTTCGTCAGTAGGCTCTTTAAAAAAAAACAGCTTTTTTTAAACTAACATTGATGATGATAAAATGACACAAATTCTGCTGTTATTTTGATCATACAACAGCAATGTTTCTGACCTACACCAAAGTAATTTGGTCTGCTGGTGGATGTTAAGATGTTTAAAATTTTTGCAATTTTTGTTTTCCAGGTAAAGAAAAAAGTTCATTCTATTCATCTGGACTTGGCATATCTGTGAGATCATTTTCTTGATCAGCTAATCCAAAATGCTGCAGCAAGAGTACTGACAACAACTATAAAGAGAGAGCAGATTTCTCCTGTTTTGGCTTCCCTTCATTGGCTCCCTGTTAAATCCAGAATTGAATTCAAAATCATGCTCCTCACATACAAGGTCTTAAATAATCAGGCCCCATCTGATCTGAATGACCTTGTAGTACCATATCACCCTATTAGAGCACTTCGCTCTCGCTCTGCAGGCCTACTTGTTGTTCCTAGAGTATTTAAAAGTAGAATGGG